TTTCTTTTCTTTTTTTTTTTTTTTGGTACTGGGGATTGAACCTGGGACCTTGGGCTTACAAGGCAGGCGGTGGCACCACTGAGCTAAATCCCTGGCCCTCCAACTTTTTGTACAGAGCCCCTACAACTAGCTGAGCATAGTGGCACATGACTATAATCCCAGTAGTCTGGGAGATGAGGCAGAAGGATCACGAGTTCAAGCCCAACTTGAGCAATTTAGCAGCTTAGCTTACCTTATCTCAAAATGAAAAATAAGAAAAGGGTGGGGATGTAGCTCAGTGCAAAGGCCCTAGGGTCAGTTCCCAGTACTAGCCCCCAAAGAGAATATTCTTTTTATTTCTGTTCTTAACTTACAAATATTTTACTCTTATTTGTAAATTTCACACTTTTCACAAAATGTATGTTTTTACATTAATTATCGCTTATTGTTTTCACTAGAAACATCTTGAGGAACAGATTACTAAAGTTGATAGAGAGTACGAAGAGTGCATGTCAGAAGATCTTTTGGAAAATATTAGAGAGATAGCAGAAAAATATAAGAAGAATGCCACTCTCCTTAAGGCTTCTGATGAATGAAGATAAAATGTTGAGGGCCGGGGATGTAGCTCAGTGGTTCCACCGCCTGCCTCGCAAGCGCAAGTTCCTGAGTTCGTTCCATCCCTGGTACCAAAAAAGAAAAAAGAAAAAGTTGATTATCTTGTATATTTTATAAATCTAGTTCTTTAACTGAAAATATATGTATATATATATAGCCTGGAATTATGATAGCCTGTTAGATTATTTTTAGCTATGAAAGAGCAGTTATATGTGAACCTACAGTTAATAAAACTGCATGAGTAAAGTATGTTTTCTTCCTCTCATTTCTTTGCCTAACTTGAGAAGCCCACCAGAGCCCAGGCAGTGGGCCGCGTGTACTCGTTCACGGGTGTCTGACCTCTTTCACCTGCAGCAGAGCCGAGTGCCTGCAATAGCAGCCATGTGGTCTACACAGCCTACATGTTTCCTCCAACTCCTTTCTCGGAGAAGATTGCTGATCACTTGTGTAAATACAAAGGACGGTGCCATCTTCACTCTGAAGCAGAAGAATACAGAATGTGAGAATCAGAGGAAACGATGAAATCGTCAATCTCAACCCCCGAATTTTAGAGATGATAATTCGTTCCTAGAGAATTCCAGTTCACCTCCAGTCACATCTGGAAGAAGCAACCCTGGAAATTGGAACTGATGCACAGTCTTGAATTCAACCCCAGGGGCGTTTAAGAAGCAGCTCCTGGGGCACATTACAGCCTTGGTAGGAACAGGCGCAGCACCTCCAGGATCGACCTGAGCAGACCGAAGGGGCCAACAAGCTACCCTGCAGGCAGTCGGGCCCCTGGTGCACCCCTCTTTTCGTTTTCACCTATGGAAACAGCATCCCGCACGATTAGCTGAAGGGGAAAGAATAACCCAAGCTTGGTTTACAGGTGGGGTTTGGCAGGGACACAGCCAGACTGAGAGATGGCTCTGTAACCCCGGTCCGGGGAAGATCTTCCGGATGGGCAGTGCGGCGCAGAGCACACAGTCGCCCACTTGTTGAATGGTCTGAGATAAGAACACATTCGGATTTCCAAGCAGTGGCCAATGGCTTGGCCCTCGGGCCAGGGTCCTGAACACAATGGGTACTGGAAGGAAACAAAGTTCTCTGGTAGAGCCAAGTGGCCAAACACCTGCGGTGGGCACAGACCTTTTGTGTCATGTGTTAAACACCTGAAAATATCTACAGCGAAAGAGACACAAAATCGCTCAGCCAACTGAAGTAGAACTGGTGAAGAGCACCCGAGGGGCTGTTAGAAATAGAAGTCTTGTATAGGTCCAATCACAGGGACTCCGACTTACCAAGATTGACCTGGTTACTGCAACTCCGTTTTCATCCTGTCAGCAACAGACACCACCACAGCCTCTGATACAGAGCCATCCCTTGAGAACCACTGGCCACGTGGTGGCAGGTGGGCTCCGAGACACCTGTTCTGTCCTAATAGGCCCAGCACTTTATCCTCACGTGGATAGACCCCTATTCTGGGAAAAGAAAACATGCCAAAAATGTGGGATAATACTAGGGTAGAACCCAGAGGAAGATTCATAGCTTTAAATACATTTGAAACAAGAAACTAAGAATCTAAAAATGGAAGGGAGGAAATAAGTTCAAACAAAGTAGGGGTTCATGAATGAAAAATAAGCAAAATTTTATCAGTAAGAAAACAAGTTTAAGAACTAATAGATCAGATGCTTTTGCTGCCTACAGTTTCTCACCACTCACTATCTTCAGGAATGAGCCCAAACAGGAGTACATCTGTCTTGTGTTCAGATCCTCTGAAGATGTTTTGGGTCACAGCACCAGATAAGCCCAAATGGTAGCTGAGAGTGAGATGAATTTCAAATGGAAGGTAGAGGAGAGAAAGGACGGGTACCAGCTCGAGCACCCAGAACCTGCAGCAAGTACACACTCATTCTTTTCACCGGCCTCATGTTCCCTCAGGAAGACACAGCCATGTGGACCATGAAAGAGTTGTGCCCTGAGCCTGTGTGAAGAGGAGGATATGTGCTGTGAATATGGCGGTGAGGATGTGACACAGACCTCCTGCTACAGGGAGGGGAGTGGCTTCAGCCCGGGAATCCCCTACCGCCTTCCCGCACCGTCTCAGGCCCCCGCCATCTTGGAAGCTTCCAACAAGCCTCTCTCCTTCCCTTGGCTGCCATGTGGTCTGGGCTTGCTCACCCTTCCTCAGCTGCCTCCCTACTTCCTTTCTCTCAGCCTTTTCCCTCCATAAAATCCTTGCACACTGACCCCACCTTGGCACTCACCATTTATAAACAAAATGGGGAACACCCTTTATGATGTGGAGTCTTCCTGACCCCCCCAAAAAAAGCATGGCATATTTTCCTTTTGTTGGGTTTGTAAACATTTCACAAACATCTTGCATATTTTTAAGTTTCTTTCTAGACATCCTTCTGTTGCTATTTTGAATGGGTCTTTGCTTCCATTTTATTTCCTATCTGGTTGTGACTTGTATATATCAAAGGTAATGATTTCTGCATATTTATCTGATTTGTCACAAACTTAATGAATCTTATTTTTCAGTAGTTTTATTGAAGTTGCTGAGTTTGTTCAGTTATAATTCCTGCAAATAATACTCATTTCATTTATGTCTTTACTTACACTTCTAATTGCCTTCTTTTGTCTGTGTTGCCAATAAATCAAATATAATATGTATTAAGTAATCATTGTGAGAGTGGCCATCTGGACATTTTCCTAATTGTAATGGCGATGCCATGAGTGTTTTGCTATTCATCATGATGCCAGCTTTTGTATTGTCATATTTCGGAAGTACTCATTTTTTCTCATTACAGTTGCTGGATTTCATCAAATGACTTTTAAGTATCTATGACATTGATATATGATTTTTCTCCTAATATTTTGATATGATTATTTTCTTAACATATACATGGTCTTGCATTGATTGGTAGAAAATATCACACTTGGTCTTGGAGTGTTTTTCTTTTTTCAGGGATGAGGTAGCCCCATCTTGCCCAAGCTGGCCTACAGTGGCTATTCCAGGTGTGCGTCCACCCTGATACCTAGGCCAACACCTAATGAACACAGCCCCGACTCCTGGGCCCAGAGATCCTCCTGCCTCTGTCTCCTGAGTAGCTGGACAAGAGGTTCACAACACTCCTAATGGATACATTTTTTCTTTTCTTTTCTTTTAATATGCTGTGGGATTCTGTTAACCTTTTGAGATTTTAGTTTTTGTATTAATAGTCATGAATGAGCTTGGTGTAGTATGTTCCATAGTTTTAGTTTCTGTCAGGTTTTCGAATCATTTCAAATAAAGAAGTTAGACATTTTCCTTTTTACAGTGTCTTGGGAATGATATAAAAGTGTTAGCTTTTCACGTTTGGTAAGATTCCCACCTGAGTGGCTGCTTTTTGTGGGTGTAGTGCTTTGCTAGTTTCACCTGGTTCTTCTATACAATCCTGCTCATGCTTGTGTTTCTAATCTCTCCTGTAAATCCAGTAAATTATATTATCTTAGACGTTTTCCTACCTGATCCAGTTTTTCACAGAATTGAAGAGTTTTTGTCTTCTTTTATCCATTTACCCATAAAACAATAATTTGTATAAATTACTAAAATTTATATAAATTATTACAATTTTTAAATTAATTTTTGCATGTTTGAACTATCTTCATTTCCTGGAATCAAATAGCCAATGTTTCCCTGTTAAATTCATTGTTAATATTTCCTTTTATTTTCTCAATCATTAAGAATTTGGCAAAAAAAAAAAAAAGAATTTGGCTTTTTTTCCTTACTAATTAACTCCTGCTTTGCTTGAATTTATTTTGTCATGATTTTTCCCCTGATTTCTCCATGATTTTTGGAGTCAGAGTATCTTCATTATTTTCTCGTTGCTGAGACAGAATAGCTGACACGGAAAGTGAACGGGGCAAAGGTTATTTAGCTCAGTTTGTAGAGGTTTCCGTCCTCGATCGGCTGGCCCCGGGGCAAGGTGGCTTGCACAGGGGTGTGGCAGAGAACAGTTCAGGGTGCCCACAAGGTAGCAAAAAACAAGAACAAAAAAAAAGTTAACAGCATTTTTCTGTCCCTCTTATCTTATCTAGACTATTTAAAACATAGCGCTCACACCCTCAGTCCTAGGGCCCTTAAGCCTAATATTATACCATAAATCAGTTTTAGCCTCACACCCTCGAAGCAGATTGCTGATGAGTGGGGAAACCGAGAGGTAAAGTTCACGTTCTCGCCGTGAACAGCAAAGTTCTTTAGCAAACCGCAGGACCTGAATACAGCAGTCTGACTTCGGAACCTCAGTTCCCAACTGTTCCATCCCGCTGGCTCCCTAGGTGCGCATTACTTTGTCCCTACGTGATCTCACCTGGGGCCGGGCTAATCAGTTGGAGAACAACCTGAAATCAATAAAAAGCATCATGAGGACAAGGGAGATTGCGAAGCGCCCCGCAAGATGTCCAGGAAGTCGCTAGGGAAGAAGCTGAGGAATCGTTCAGAGTGGCGACCCCAGAGGATACAGGAACTGCGCGAAGTTTGGCCCCGGGTTGGTGTGCTGGGGGTGGGCAGGAGAGTGGTTCAGAGCGAGGTTCAGAGCAAGCAACTGAGGGAGCCGAGCCGGGGCCAAGTGGCACCAACATCGCCTATCAAGGTCAGGAGCGCGGAATCGTTTCTCTTCCGCAGAGCTGCTCACTTCTAAGCGGGGAGAGACATCAGGTCTGAAGCAGAAGGTGCCCCCACCATACCCTAGCTGGGCTCGGATCCAAAAGGGGAACACCCCACACGCACAGAAACATTCGACTGCTCATGAAGGCGAGGTGACCGCTCCCTGGTGGCGGACGGGTCCCCCCACAGATCTCTGAACCCCGCAGACAGGGGAAAGACATGGACAGTGGAGAAGCCAGTCTGCTCACTAGCGGAAGTGAGTTTCGCTTAGGAGCTTCGGGTGCTGTGTCTAAAACAGCACACGGCCGACCCACTGTGGGGTCCTAGCAGAGGGTTGGGACAGTGGGGGAAACTACTCCGAATTATCTCAGCCTCAGCAGTAGAAAGTGTCTACTCGAGGGAAGTACAGAAAAGTTATCTGCCAGGGCCGGTGAGAGAAGTGCTTTGCTCAAGATGAAGAATGCAAAACTCCACCACCAGGAGAAAAGCAGAGTGGCTGTCGAATGGACGCCCTGGGCACCTGCCAGCCTTGGAGCAGGATGAGAGCGGGCCTCCGACAGCTGGTTTCCCGGGCATCTGGAGGGTCATGATCCACGTCCTTTTGCCTAGAAAAGAATTCCAGATGTGCTCTCGCCCTGCTCCCTCAGGCCTGAAACACAATACCCAGCACCCACAATTTAAGGGACAAGAGGTTTAATTTGCCTCACATTGTGTAGAGGTTGCAGCCACCGTGCAGGATGGCGTGGCAGAGAACTGCTCGCAGCAGGGCAGGCAGGAAGCCCAGAGAAATGAAAGGAGGAAGACAGACCCTTCCAGGCCACGCCCCGGGACCCCCTCCCAAGTCCCCTTTATCTACGCTCCACTGACCAATCATGACGTCCACTCACCCGCCCAGAACCCCACCTAAGACCCCGTGGGGCTTTGGGCGACACCCAAGTACAACAGTAACAATGTGCGATGGAGTCGGCTGTGGAGACGGCAAAGGCTGTTGGCTCTGACATCAGGGGAACCCCCACCCCCATGGTAGGAGGTGAGCAAGGAGCAGCTACCGAGAGCAGCAAAGCCAAATGCTCTCAACCTGTGTGTGAAGAGGCGAGACCGGCAAGGGGAGAACTGGGAACAGCCTGCCCTCGTGACTTTCCTGAGGGAAACTTCTGGGCAAAGAGCTATGGGACAGTCACTGCGAAAGCTGAAGAAGCTACTCAGAGATGGCAGAAGCCAGATCACAGGCCCTTCCTGCAGTCGCGGGCTCCCCAGGCGAGGAGAGGCTTATTACAGGGGCTGGACTGTATGCGGCTGACTCTGAAAAGGGATTGGCCGTCATCTTTTGCAGCTGTAGGGCATGCTGTCTTACGATTGGCTGGAAACATTGTTCCGCCGCCTTCTCTGTGCCCTGTGACACCACTTATCGGTCTGGCCATCAGCAGACTCTCAAGCCTCAGGTAATTAAAGCTGCTTCTTGGCAGTCTCAGAAGCATTATAGCTCTGGGGCGCAGCCCGTGACAAATTTCACTAAGGAGGAGGAAAATTCAAACAGTAACTTGGAACTGGAGGCCCTGGTGCAGTATCGGAGGTGAATTTTCCCTTGGTGACTCATTCATTATTTCCTGCACATCCATGGAAGCTCTCTCCTGGGAGAAGAGGCAGAGACGCAGGAAGAGAAGAACACAGTCTCACCGGTACTAGAAACGTGCGCTTCCCTTCCCGTTATGGTTGGCCGTGAGCTAGAACACCGGCACGACTCTAGCCTGTACCGGAAGCAGTCTTTCTCTCCGGCGTCCAAAGCTGGAAACAATACACTATTTACTATAAACTTCCCCGTGTGTGCACTTCTGACTCTGCTTTAACGTCTTTATTTTTTGTAAAGCCTTTCTTCATGTCTAGATCACAGAAACAGGAGGGCCACACCCAACAGCCAAGGGAGGCAGGAAACATCCACAAGACAGGCACAAAAACATGCAGACGGACAGTGTGTGTGCATTGCTCCAACTCTCCTGCACACAGAAGTCTGTTTCACACACATCTGGCAGTGGGTGGGGATGCTCTGTTCTCCTTGCCTGGCAAGGTTAGGGTTTTTTGTTGTTGGGTCGTTTTTTTGTTTTGTTTTGTTTTTTTAATCTCTGTGAGTATCCTGTTTCCTGCAGAGAAGAATTTCTTTTCTAGATGGCGTTTTAGGCACAGCAGGAGCTGAGCCCCACGGGACAGCAGAGGGCCAGTTACAGGAGTCACGAGCACTGCAAGCTGGAGGAGGGCTGTGAAAAGGGACTGGAGCAGGCTCGGCAAGGATTGGCCGGCGGTAAGTATTGATGGGAGCATTTAGAACTGAAAAAAATACAAGCTGGGCACAGTAGCATGTGCCTATAATCCCAGCCCTCTGGAGGCAGAAAGATCACAAGTTCAAGACCACCCTGGGCAAGTTAGTGACTTAGTGAGACCCTATCTTTAAAAAAAGGGCTGGGGGAGCCAAGGATTTAGCTCAGTAGTTCTGCCGCCTGCCTCTCAAGCACAAGGTCCTGAGTTCAATCCCCGGTACCAAAAAAACAACAAAAAATAAAAAATAAAAAAAAGGGCTGGGGATATAGCTCAGCCTGGGAAGTGTGAGGGCCTGAGTTTGACTCCTGGTACCACAAAGAAAGAAAAGACTTAGGAATATAGCTTAGTGTGAAGGCCTTGACTTCAATCCCCACTGCTCCCCCCTACAGCCACACACATGCAAACTAAACTAAAAAGATACCCTTTAAGGAACATGAAAAAATAAACACTGTCATTTTTTATAATTCCTGTGGTTATATACAATGAAATGACCTACATGTTCCACTATCTGTCCATTTCTCCTCTCTTTCTCCTCCTCTTCTTTCTTTTTAAGACACTGTAGCACAGGCTGGTCTCAAATTCATGGTCTTCCGGCACCAGCCAGGATGACAGGCATGAGTCACCACACCTATCTCGTGCATCTCCTTCAAATGCTGTGTTTTCGTTGTGTATCAGGCCGACTTCCTGTAAGGAAGGGTGTTTCGTGGCCAGTTTCCAGGGAACAGATCAGTTCTCCGTTAGGAAAGTGAAACCTAGATGAGAAATAGAAACGTAATGCATCCATTTCCTCCTGGGCTTCCTCTCAGCACCCTATTTGACACAACTCAGACCCGAGTGGGGCTGCTACGGACTGTTAGGGGAAGATCGTCTCTGTCCATTGGGAGGGAAGGGCTACAGGCTGCAAATAGTCAGGTGCATTTTAAAAATGTATTTATTTATTTATTCTGGTACTGGGGATCGAACTCAGGACCTCTCACTTGCAAGGAGGCAGACAGCAGAACTACTGAGTTCAATCCCCAGCCCCCAGAAGCCTTTTGTGAATCAGATTGCTTATGTGTTCTTCTTTCAAAATAGGATCTTTTGAGCTCCATTGTCAGTTCACAGCAAAATTAAAAGAAAGGCACAGAGATTTCCCACTAATATCTGGGGCCTGCATCTGCCCAATCTTCCTCTTTAATACGCTGGGAGGCTGAGGCAGGAGGATCGCAAGTTCCAGTCCAGCCTGGGTGACTTATTGAGACCCTGTCTTAAAATAAAAAACAATAAAAGATCTGGGAATTTAAGCATGTGATATTTAGCCTGTATCTGGTAGAATCCCATGGACACTGCCTCATACTTGACCAATTCAAAGTATCTGGGCTGAACCTAGGATCTATAAACACATACAACAGGTGGTTCTTACTCCTGCTGCCATCAGAACACCACAATGGGATCCCAGCTGTGCTGTGCAAATGGAGAGGGGTCAGTGTTCCTGACAGAGCAGGTTACCCACACCAGGAGCGGACAGTGACAAAAGCCTTGGGGAGGACCAGGTGGGTCCCACTATTCCTCAGAGCCGCGCCGACCATGCGGCACCCTTAGTCCAACATCATAAGATCTGGGGTTTCCTGTCGACTTCTCTCTTTGGGAGAGGCCCAGAGATGCTTGTCTGCTGTTTCCCACACGATGAAGCCCGAGGATGTGAAATCTCTAAGAAGCTATCTTTGCCCAAGATAGGACCTAGGTTCCACCTTCTCCGAGTACAGGAGACCCCCAATTTAGGATGATTCCCCTCCCCAACCAGCTGGGGCTGCAGATGCTGGCAGCTGGATCCCCTCTCTGAGTGCTGGGTGTTAGCTGTAGGAGGAAGAAGCCAGGACTGCACCGCACTGCTGAGCTGTGCTGTTTGGGAAGTCAGCTGAATCAAGAGCATTCTTAACGTTTTCATTTTTGTAAGGTTTGCTGCAACAGAACCCATCCTACGACCAGAGCAGCTGTGCTGGTAAGCTTCCTCACCAGCCTTTCACTGGGAGCTGAATCAAAGGTTGGAAATTACCGACCTCCTGAGGTCTGCAGCTGCGGAACCGAAACGGTCCATGACCCCCACCCATTCCCACCCCAGGGCTCTGTGTGGTGAATCCCATCCTTTCCTTCCCTCCAATGCTTGTTTCAGTAATAATCTCTTGGAAAGCAAGAGCGAAACTTCATTCTGCTGCCGGTACAGTTACGCGCACATCACATGCTACAGGAAGCAACAGAATCAAGCAATAAAATAAAGCTTTCTTAGAAGAACTCAAAAATAACTTCCTGACTGATCCCGTCTCCAAAATCATAAACCCTAGAAATTCCCAGTGAACCTAAACACTCTGAACAATGTCTTCCCTGTCTTTTGATTTTAGGTTGTTGTTTTTTTCTTCTCCTTGAGACAGGGTTTTGCTAAATTCCCCAGGCTGGCCTTGAACTTTCAACCTTCCTGCCTCAGCTTCCTCATAGCTGGTGTTACAGTTCTAAATTGCTACAGTTCTAAACTGCTACTGTGATTCCTGATTTTTGATATCCTGATGTCTGAATAGTGAATGGTCTTTGTAACTATGACAGCTGTCTTAGTTACTTTTCATGTTCCTGAGGCAAAATGCTCGATACCCAAAATTAAAGGAGGAGAGGTTTATTTAGCTCCCAGTTTGTAGAGGTTCAGTCAATAATCAGCTGATTCCAAGGCAGGGTGGCCTGGCAGAGGGGCGTGGAAGAGGAGAAACATTGCATGGTGTGCAGAGGTATGACCACAGCTCTTGCTGCCACTTTTATCTAACCCAGGCTACTTGTGGCAGGCAGCACTCACACCCTTCATCCCAGTGCCCTTGAGCCTAGCACTGCACCAGGAATCAATCCCAGCATCACAGACTCTAGATCCAGCTGCCTCTGAAAAAGTCCCACCTATGACTACATGAGGCTCTGGGGGGACATGAGCCATATAAAAGCCTTGCAACAAAATTGCTTCCCCCCAACATTATGAACCTGATATGAAATTGATCCCCTTGGCAATTTTGCCTTTTTTATCCTCTAAATATTTTTGTTTTAGGCCAGGGATTCAGCTCAGTGGTGCTGCTGCCTGCCTCACATGCTCAAGGTCCCATGTTCTCTAGTACAAAAAAAAAAAGGCAGCAAAATAAATAAATATATACATATACATATATATAAAATATATATATGTTTGTGTTTTCAATTCACTGAGCTAGTTTCTTCAGAAAACAGTCTGACACACTTACTCTGATAACAAGTGCAATTTCTCCTTTTTTGAGAGTGGGATTAATTTCATTCTATTACAATTATTTATGTTGTAATGGAAAAATTATAAATATTGTGCTGTACAATATATTTTAAAATATAGGTACATCGTGGAATGCCTAAATTGAGTTATTAACATTTGTATGACCCCATACACTTACCATTTTGTGATGAGGACACAAATTTATTCTTTAAAATTTTTTCTATTTTTAGCCTACATGGTATCACACACCTATAATCCCAGCTATCTGGAGGCTGAGGCAGGAGTATCTCAAGTTCTAAACCAGTCTGAGCTACATAGTGACCAGTCTCAAAACACCAAAAGAAAAGGAAACAACAATAACAATATATACACATATATATATGCACATTCTTCTCTGTCTTTTCTTTTTAACTTAAAAACCTTTTCCTCATTTGTGCAAAGATAAATAGGATTTCAAGGGCCAAAATTAAATAAATGAAAATTTTCATATAGAACCATTTCAAATGATAAATTTCCTGTAATTAATTTCTTAAATAATTCTGAATTCTAGACTATTAAAAAAGAAATTGAGAAAAAACTTAAATCCTGTTTATACATTGCATTGGTCACCCCTCTGCTGCTGGGACCAAAGGCGGGGGAATTAAAGACTACACCACATTGTTGAGCACCATTTTGCCCTGGCTCTAGGGGATCCGTTTCTTCACTCTCCTCGTTGAGTGAGGTCCCACGTTGGCCTCTTCATGCTCACGACTGCAGGAGAATACCCAGGCTGGTCCCAGGGCCAGGGCGGGCCCTCTCCGGTGTGTTCTGCAATAAGCCTGCCCTGGGGAGCTTGCGCCTTTGTTTTTTCTTCCTTCTTTTCCTAAGATTTTGGTGACCTGCAGGGAAGAGACTGAGGGGCTGCCCTGGGGTCCCCCACCTCTTCCTTTGTGGTCCTGCCCTGGAGGAGAGCTCATGCAGAAAGAAGCATCCTGCAGGGACCCCCACTCCCGGTCAGGCCTAGTCAGGGGCTTTCTCTGACCTGCTAGGAGCCAAGAGATGCTTTCCGGCGGCGGGTGGGGGGTCCTGCTTCCCCTCTGCTTTCCGCTCTTCCTCACCAGCTCCGGGAGGGCTTGCCATTTCCTGCTAGCCCTTCGCTCAGGATGCAGCCCAGGACTGGCAAGACCGGCCCTGCCTTTCCCTAGGCGTCCCACACCCCTGGGGGTCCGCAGGGCTGGGCTCTGCGATGGATTTCCAGAGCACCTGGGGCAGGGACACCTGTGCAGACTGGGGAACAGCCTCACTGACATGGCCGGGCCCTGGCCCTGTGTGGGGGACAGCCCGACCCAAGGACGGACTCCGCGGCTCTCTTACCAGCAACTGTGGGCTCCCAAATTTCCCAAATTCCAGCAGACACCCCTTTGGGTTGACTCCTAAGAACTTTCTCCCCTCAGTTGAAATGGAACATTAGGCCTAAACATCTCATATTATGTTGTCTCATGGCTTGGCCTAGGTACGAGCCAGCCAGTGGCAAACAACAGCCTGACTTTGGCTACTCTGACTTCCAAATTCTGGTGATCTTGATAACTGCCTGCAGAGAAGCCGTGGACAGCAGGAGGTCCCTGATGCCCAAGCTTTCTTTACTCTCTACTTGCATCTTTCTCCTTGCCAAGCTTGCTCTGCCCGCCAGATTCTCCTGCTGGAGAAAAACTCACGATGAACTCTGACCCTGACCTGGCAGAGGCCTTGCACGCCCTCTCCTCACCCTCTCAGCCTGCTACCCGCTCCCATGCAGCCCCTGCCACCCCGCTACACGGCAGCGGGGGCGAGGGAACAGCCAATGTCCGTGTCACCTTTTCCACGAGTGACAGTGACTGGGACCCTTCTCCGAGGACCCTGGTAGATAGCGAAAGGAGTTCCTGCACATGACGCAGGCATTCAGCCGCCCTTGGCAAGACAGACGTTGAACTATTCCTCAAGTCTCTACCTGTGAGGGAAGCGTTTGGCCGATGAACTCCACCAGCAAAGCCCGAACAGCCCAACACACATGGTGGAGGCTCACGCAGTTTCCAAAACAGCCCCACTAGACCTGTCTGGACTTCCCAGGATGGGGGCCGGAGTCTCGAGAGGTGTCTCGAGAGGCGTGATCGCATGACTCGCCCCTAGCTGGTACGGAGAAGAATACATAGAAGGAAGTAAACAGCAAGTGAAGAGCGATTACTCAGGAGCCTGCTGAAAATCCAGCCCCTTTTATGTCCCATCCAGTGGACGCCCCAGCAAAATAAACCAGCATGGATCCCGACTCCAGGGAAGGACAGGACGTGTTCACTTCTCAGTCAACTCCTGGTATTACAAAAAAGCTCCAAAATCATAAGAAGGACCCCAGACTCCCAGAAATGATCTCATAAATGCCACATTCCTCATTTATTCCCAACTGAGAGCCATGAGGGACAGAAAAGAAAGAGAAACTAGATTAAAGTACCTTCTTCATGAAGCCCCTCTGCTCAAAATGTCTTGGCGTTCACCTGGCCTGGTCCTGATCCTAACTTCACACAGCAATTAACTCAGACAGTTCTGCCTCAGGAGTTCCATGGTGGCTCCCACCTCTAGGCGCTCCACAGAGGCCTCTCTGACTCTGGCCAAAGCCCTAGTGGCCTCCGGCAGTGTGTTGAGGACCTTCTCCAAGGACACAGGCCGCAGTCAAACTGCTCTCCTAACTTTCCAGCAGACAGACGAGGTGATAGGGTCTCTAAACATATGGCCCGACTTGTGTCCCCAGTGATACAAAAGTACATGGGGACTCTGCGTTGGACGGTATCCTTCCCACTGCCCAAGACATCCCAGAAGAAGAAACACAATTTCCTCTCCAGCCTTGCCCAGGACTAAATGGGAACTTCTCTCTCTCCACGGACTAGAGGGCTATCTCAGGCTCTGGACCCACCACTAACTCACGCATTCCGGGTACTGAGAAAGGGCCTAACCAAGGCCCCCACTTTACACCTTCCCAACCCTAAGAAACCCTCCCACCTTTATACTGCTGCACAAAGTCTTAGGCACTGGGACTCTTGGCCCAGCCAGAGGAGGCTCTCCCTGCTCCCGGTAGCTTGTTTCTCTGAACAACCTGACCCCGTCCCTCAGAGCTGACCACTTTGCCTCAAGGTGAGGACCACTGCCGCTCTCCTCATTCATAAGGCAGAAATAGTGTATTTCCATCAGCCCCTCCAGGTCTGGTCCTCCCCTGGGTTACTCCCCTGTGTGAGGAGCCACAGAGCTCTTCATCGCACTTCTCCCACCAGAGCTCAGATCCTACACTTGACCTTGACACAGCCTCTGGTCTCCGTCTATTACAGCCCCCCAAACCCTGCTTCACTTATGCCCAAGCCTTACCCCAAGGGACTTCAGAGGACCACTCCTGTCCTGAATTAGCTGATTTCTCCTTAGCAGCTTTCACCACCTGACCTCTCCTCACATCCCACGTGTCCCTGACTGGTTTGTTGGTGGCAGCGCCTCTGAGACACCCCCTGGTCAGGCCACTTATGCTTCAGGAGAGAGCAATCATGACAATGACTGTGCCTTTCCTCCAGAGAAGTAATTGAAGCCATGCCACTTCCAGATGGCACCACCTCACAACAGGCCAAGCTTATGACACTGACCTGGGCGGAAACCTTAGCAAAGAGCGGGGATATTAACACACATACTGATTCCAAATATGCCTACAGTACGCTGCACTCTAATGCACCAATCTGGCAAGAAAGAGGATTTCTATCAGCCAGAGGAACACCCATTGTAAATGCAAAGCTGATCCTTCTCCCATCCAAAGCAGCAATCACACATTGCAGAGGGATAAAAAATGTGCCACTGCAGGAAATAACACAGCAGATCACCCGGCTTGAGGAGTGGCTTTAGGCTCCCCCTGCCTAAATATCCCTTTATCAGTTTCCCCAGGCTACACAGAGAAGGAGGAATAGAGGCTGCAGGAACAAGGGCTACCTTCCACAAACTGCAGTGCTTTTCACACAGAAAAAGTCCCCCCTGAGGCCCTCACATCCCCGTCCTTGCTGAATTAC